GCCAACACTTTTGTCAATTCTCGATCGTCATGGTTGATCATTGTTGTTAAATCTAATAAATCTTTATCTTCAATATTTTGTTCGTCAATTTTATCGGTACCAGCTAATTCACATAAAATTCGTTGATCCGCGTCGACTGTTTGCATAAATGTTTCCAAACTGTTTGATAAAACGTTTGTGGTTGTAGTTGGCCTTTTTCCTATTGTAGCTTTCAACTCGTCCATTAAATATTCCTCAATTTTTTCCATATCGATAGGTGATTCATTATTAAAAGCATTTTTATGATACGTGTAAATTTTTGATACACTTTCCAATGTGAATGGATTTAGTTTAGTTCTTCGTTTTGTATTTTGCCAATCTAACATTGGAAATAAACGTTCCGGCATAATAGCATGTGGAATTATTGAAAATAATTGTAATGCTATGTTTTTTAGACTGTTTCCGTTTATTTCATCGTGTATCATCAATCACCATGATGTTGGATTGTCATGTTTTGTATACATTATTGAATATGATCCATGCTTAATTTCATAACGTTGTAATGAACTCACAACACTTTTTGTAGTGGATGCCTGAAATATTCAAAAACCTTTTAGTCGACGGAGAAGTGAACAATGGTTAAAAAAGCAAATGGAATTGCCAAAGATATCAACTTATTGTGGTAACTATATGGTAGTGGAACAAAAATAGTGTCTAGTCTGTCCAATCCAGGTGTTATGTATATCCCCAGAGTTATCAGTTTACTCATTTTAATCAGAAATTTGCGGACTACAATCATGTCTCATTAAGAAAGGCTTTTATTACTTTTTAGAGTTTCTGTAAAGCTAGTTTTCTAGAAATCCGATCTTCGGAGATCTAAGAGCCCGAATGGATGTCATATTCGGATTCAGCATAAGCGATAACCTATAATCCACTAGGTCTCATTGAAAAAACGATTTGACAGTTAAATCGGTTCCCTCGTGAGTCTACCAATTTGCCCATACTTGTCTTTGTTAACAACATGGCGCCTACATGTCCTAATCAATCACAGTTGGAAAAATCTAAGTTCACAAAAATCTGGCCAACTCATATCTTCAAACATTCGAACGTATGACGCTTCAAAATGGGAAATTTGGTACTAGACCTACCCAAGATAGAGTTCTTGTTACGTTTGTAAACAAAACTGTTATGGCTAGTCTGAAAAGTGGTACGAAACGACTGAGCGTCCAGTTAGAAAAAAAAACGCGAACAACCTCTAAAATGCGGTTAGATACAGCAAGTCGAAATTTCCACCACAGATACTCCAAATCCTCTCTCAGGTTCTAAAGTTTTTTTCGAAAAATATGCTTTCTTTCTCGGAATCTACGAAAGTGCTGAAAATCATCAAAAACAAAACTGCGTGATTTTTAGCAGTTTTCGTATACCTCGAGGAGGAAAGCATATGTTTATAAAAGATTTCGAACTTGAGATAGGTGTAGAGTATGTACGCTGAAAATTTCGACTTGATCGACCATTTTTCTGAGGGATCGTAATGTGACTGGATAAAAACTGGAGTTTTCCGGAAAACTCACAGAAGATCAT